CCCCCCCGACCCAAGACCCCTGTTACACGCCTGCTTATAAGTGGGGCCCCCACTTTGAAAACGTTCCGCCGACCCTGGTCTACATCAAGCTATTGTTCTTCAACTGGTATCAGCAAAATCAGTCTCTGCACTGCTCGCTTCAGTGGCTCGACCTTCCTGATTCACTAGTAGTCTTCAACTCGACACTCCTCACCAATCCTCTTGAGTCTGGATAAACTTCAGAAACTCTACCAAGTCGCCACTGTCCTCTCTTCACGTTCTCCTCCTTAATAACCACAACATCTCCCTTCTTCAAATTACGATGTTCCACATGCCATTTTTTTCTCACGATAAGTGTAGGAAAGTAATCCTGTGTCCACTTCTGCCAGAATTGGTCAGTCAATCTCTGAACAAATCTCAATCTTTGTGCATTATTACCCAGCTTACAGATGAACGTCCGAGAAGATTATTTGGACATAAGTAACGTTCTGGACTCGTAGGATGTTTGCCAATAGGTCGCTCATTCATCAAGTTTGCAATTTCATAAAGCACTGTCTGCAACTCCTGCAACACCTGCTCTCCTATGACATGGAATAACGACTTCTTAACTCCTCGAATTAAACTCTCGGTGACACCATTCTGCCACGGTGCGTCTGGTGTGGAAAATGTCCACTCAACTCCATGACGAACTCCGAACCCTTTGATACTCTCCTTCGCTGCGACTAGTTGACTGCCACAATCACTGAATATTTCATTCGGGTATCCTCTTATGGATACAAACCGTCTAAACACCTTCAAAAGGGAATCCTCACTATAATCCGTCATCAAGTCTAAATGAACTGATCTTGTAACAAGGCAACTGAATATTACTCCGTAGGCCTTGCCTCTCACTCGCTTTTGGACTTCTCCCTTGACTTTCAGTGGTCCAAACAAATCACATCCTACCGAGCTCCAAGGTGGCGAAGGTTTCAGCCTCTGCAAGGGCAAGGGTGCCATTTGCTGCCTTATCTCTTCACCTTCAAACTTCCTACATCGGATGCAGCTATGTCTTATGCTGGTTACTAACCGCCTAAGTCGCACCACTCAATAATGTGATCTGATCTTAGTCATCGTTGTGTCAACACCATTATGGCCGTCATCGTGTGTCATTACAGCGTACAACTTAGTAAACTCGTGATCATGTGGCAGCAGAGGAACCATTTCGTGGTTGTAACTGACATGTTCTTTAACCCGATCTCCAACGACAATAACATCATCTTCTCGAAGTCGTGGACCTAAGCTACCATACCTTTTGAGGAACTTAGGATACTCTTTGTGCATTAGGTCTCGCATAGGTTTCTGAGCTTCTTTAATCCAATATAGCTCCGCTCCTTTTAGTTTTTCTGCTGTTACCATCAGCGATGCTGACTTGAAACTCTTACCCTTCAGAACCTCCAGGAAAATAGCCATCACTCTTAATAACTTTGAGTAGCTGCTAAACCTTTGAATCTGGATAGAATTAATAGATGTCTCTTTTACTTTCACTGTCATTACAACACCAATTCTCTCTGGGATTTCTTGAGTTCACCTTTGGGAAATGAGCCATTCACTGGCAGGCCTACTCAGGAACTCTGGACCCATTTGCCATCTGCTCGGTTCGGACAGCACACTTGGAAAACCTCCTCTAGATATTAAATCCGCCATATTAGACTCCCCCGGTATCCACCACCAATCTTGTGGATCGGAGAGCTGTTGAATCTCCCCGACCCGGGTGGCTACAAAGGTCTTGAAACCATAACTCTCCTTCTGTACCATAGCTCTTACTATTTGGCTGTCGACAACGTAGAAAACTCTCTCAAACTCTATACTGGTCTCATCTTTGATTGTCTTAGCTAAACGAACACTAAACACTGCTGCGCTAAGTTCTAATCTTACTATGGTTGTTATTTGTATAGGTGCCACCCTACTCTTGCTTGCCATGAGCCTCACGGAGTAGGTGCCATCTTCGCATTCATACCGTACATAGGCCACGGTTCCCATAGCTCTTTCCGATGCGTCTGAAAACAGTATTAGGAGTGGTTTTACCCCTTCCTTTACGTTGCTCGGTTTAATGCACCTCTCTATTTGGACTTTACTGCACGTTCTAATGTCGTCGAACAGCGCCAACCACTCTTTAGCATCTGCTTCTGCTATCAGTTCATCCCAAGCTAGCTTTTCTCCCCATAATTTTTGCAACAATATCTTCGCTCTTACCGTAACTGGTGACAACAGCCCGAGGGGGTCAAACACGGCATTCATTCGGCTTAAACACATTCAATGCTTCAAACTCGTTCGAAGAATTGCTGGAAATGATCCACCTTTTAATCTTGAAATTCCCCGACTCCAATACTTTATCCATTTGCTCTGTCTTCTTTAGCGCCTTTTCCTCACTCTCACAGGAGTCCAGAACGTCGTCCATGTAAACGTTCTCCATAAGCGTTTTAACAGCCTTCGGGAATTCTCTTTCACTCATTTTAGCCGTCTTACGCAATGCACTGATTGCGATCGTTGCTGCAGGTTTATCACCAAAATTTACTGCGGTCACGCAATATGTACTAGGTGTTCTCCCAACCTCCATATTTCTCCACAAGAACTTGTGACAATGCTGGCCCAACATAGTTATCCCTACACTGTGATACATTTTTCGTATATCACCTACTATTGCCGTTCTCTCCCGCCGGAATCTCAATAAGACACCTAACAAACAGTTGTTGAGATCTGGTCCCTTTGCCCAGTAGTTATTCAGTGTGTGACCTCGGTAGTTCCCACTGCTATCAAAAACTATCCTCAGTGGTGTACTCTCACTATCCGGCTTAGGAACTGCGTGATGGGCTATATAATGCACCGGTCCACGGTACTCATGCAACTCTGTGTCAGACACCTCTTTGACTACCTCTCTCTCAATCATGTCCTGTATCTGTTCATTGTACTGCTTCGCCTTTTCTGGATCTTTACTCAAACGTTTCTTTAACGAGTGAAGTTTTGCCAAAGCTACATTTCTGTTGTCTGGCAACTCGTTAGGATTCTTCACTCAAGGATATCTAGCAATCCATCGCCCATTTTGGTATGTTAAGCCGTCTTCTATCAAACTTAGCTTTCGCTCCTCCTGCAACGTGAACTCCTTTGCACCTACTGGGCATTTACCACATTTACATCCACCACACTTAGGGTTACACCGAACTCCAATGCTCTCGATAGTCAAGAACTGATTATAAAGAGTATCAACTTGCGTCAAATGTATAGCTGCCAACGATTCACTCTCGCAAACTGGATGCCATCCTCCTACGCATTTACCAAATGGACTGGTACTGAACATTAGATTACCCACCACCTTTATATCAAGGTATCTTTTATTCATAAACAAAGTCAAAATACATTAAAAAAAAAACATTTCATTTTAATATATGTACAAATTAAGGAATTGAACATTCAGAAAGACATAAACATTTAAAAATTTACAACATAACAAGCAATATAAATAATCAGGACATAGATAAAAAAACAAAAAAGCAC